CCGCTTCGAAAGGCGCTGCCGCCCCTCCCCAGGTCGGCCACCGCGACGTGGTGCTCACCAACCATCACACCCTCTCTACGCGCCGCATGACGGCGGTGGTGCGGCTCGTGCTGCAGCCGGTGGAGCCACTCCACATGCCAGCGGCTTCACAAGAGGCACCTGTCGGCCACATGCCTGCCGGAGTGGCTACAGGCGACGACGCTCCGCGTCAATAACCACACGCGTGACGTCGTTTGGACGGGGTCGGCTCTCTTCATACCGCCATGCTCGCGCCTCGTATGGCGACGGCTGGCAGATTGGGCGGCGGCGTGGCAGGCTGCGGGGTTTGTCGACATTGTCGTCCACGCACGTAGCCAGGCCCTCTGTTCGGAGCTCACCGAACGCGTGCCCGGCGTCGCGTGCGTGCCGTCGCCCTCGCTGCCGGACGGGTTCCCCGAGGGGCTTGGCGCGCCGCCGTCGCCGTCGCTCACCGAGCCGCCCGCCGAGCCGCCCGCCGAGGTTGCGCGCGACTACCTCGACTGGCCGCTGCTCAACATGGTCGGGCTTGTGCAGTCTGAGGTGCCGGGCTCCCCCGCGCGGCTGGCGGTGCTCGTCCGGACTCACCCCGCCCCCCGCTGTCCAGGCGGCGGGCTACCGCACGGCCGCTTTCCTCGACGTCGAGGATCGACCGCCCGAGGGCGCCGCGATCGCCGCCGCCCTCGGCGAGCTCGTGCACAGTCGGTCGCCGTATGCGTACCTCTTCCGGCCACTCCACGGCTGCGACGCGTGCCCAACCAGCTTGGGCGCGCCCGCGGTGGCGATGCGCACCTCGGCCGTCTCGCTCGCGATCTTCCCGCTCCATTCGGGTCGTAGGTGAGCTCGCCGCGGCGATGCGTAGCGACCACTGCAACCTCTCGGGTGGGCTGCACAAGGTGCTTGGCGTGCCCGCCCGCATGTCGTCAGTGCGGGTTGGCTCCGCCTCGCCCACCATCGGCAGGGGCCATGATTCGGGCGCGTGCATGCAGCGCCCAGTGTCGCTGATGGAGAAGGTCCAGTGTGGCGCCCTGCCAGCGGCGCGCGCTAGGAACGGGAGCAGCGCGAGAGAGGAGCGGCGGAAGCGCACTGTCTAGCGAGAGAGAGGAGCGTGCGCACCGCCCGCGCTGTCAGCCGCGGGGCGTCCGAATGGGAACTGTGGACACTTGCGTGATATTCATCTAATATTCGCGCGTGCCTCTAAATTGCCACCCAGACGATAAGGATAATAAACAAATAAAAACGCACACCCCAGAGGTGGGAGAAGGACACGGAAACGGTCCCCATCTGAAAGAAAAGAAGAAAGAAAACAGACACGCCAAACGAGGGATGGGACGAGGACAGGGTCCCCACCTGCACGAGCAGGATTTTGGAAGGACGATCAGGGGGACAGGTGGGGCTCTCCTGCTCCTGACAAGGGACGGTGCGATCAAAACATACGGATTTTTATTTTATTCGCCCTGAACAGCGACTCTCCAATAGACGTATCGCTCAGACGACCGTCGCGTCAGTCTCTCAAAAAACGAATGCGGCGCGACGAACTGATCTTGATCGACGGCACGAGCGTCGCCTCGACGGATTGGTCAGTGTACCGGCGCCGCGTCGAGGAGCTTCTGCGCGCGCTCATCGCGAACGCCGCCGCCGCTTCGTGCGAGCCGGCGGTGCCCTTCCTCATCGGCGTGGCCCACGGCGCCCACTTGGCGCACGTCACCTCCTGCAACCCATCACTGGAGCAGCACGGCCCGTTCTGGAAGTCGGAGTTGGAGCGTGTCGCGGCCCTTCTCGCCCAGGGTCCGGTTGGCATCGAGCCCGGAGTGCTGGCGCTGCAGTCGCTCTCCACAGGGCCGCTTCACCGCGCTGTCTTCGTTGCGCCGTCTGGGTCGCGCAGCCTCGAGCCGCGCGTCCTCGGGCACGCGCTCTCTGGCATGCCCGGCTTCGCCCTCGAGGTGCTGGTCGTGCCGGACGGCGCTCTGACGCAGCCCGTGACGCTGCAGACGGACCTCATTCTTCTGCAAGCCAGCCACCCGCTGCAGGTCAGCCTGTTGGAAGAGGGTGCGTGGGCGTGGTCGGCTCGGAGGCTGGTCGAGCGGCAGCAAACGCAAGTGGGCCTCGAGCTGGGCGACGCCACGCTGCTCACCTGCGTTGCACGCCCGTCGGTCCTCGCCACAGAGACGGCGCAAGACCTGCGCGCGTGCGTCTGCCACAGTGCCATGCTTGATGGGCCACGGCCTGCGGCGCCGTCGCTGGGATCGGGGCAGCACCCCCCCGTTTGCCCTCGGTCAAAGCTGCCGCTGGACAATCGGGACATCTACATCGTCGGGTGCGTCGGTTGCACGCTTTGGCCGGCCTCCCTCGCCCCCGCTGTGCGCGCTACCAACGCCAACATGATGGGCCCCGCTCCTGGCGTCAACGAACGCGCGCTGCCATCGATCGTGCCTCTCTCCCGGATCCGCCTCGAGCGTGTCCCGCTGACCTCCCTGTACGGCGAGCCATGGCTTGTCACTGCCGACCCGGCCAGCCTGCATCCAATGGCGCACGGCCTCTTCCAGGCCCTCGCCTCAAAACTGCATGAGGCCAAAGAGGGGATCGTCTGCCGCATCCGTGCTGGCGATGCCGCCTCCTACAGCAGCCTCGCCTCGAGGCCGCCGCCCCAGGCGGTGCTGCTGCCCCAGGGGCCGCCGCATCTGTCGCTTGTGCTCAAGGCGTTCGTGCCGGCCTCGCAGCTCCCCTCCACGCCACCGCACGCCTTTGCGGCGGGCGGCGGCGGGCAGGACGAATTGCCAGCGCAGGCGAAGGAGCAGGTCGCCTCGGCCTTGGCGCAGTATGGCATCGACGACTTTCCAAACGACAGTCCGGTCGGCGACGGCGCCAAGGTGGCCGCCATGGCGCTCCGCAGTGACCGCCACTACGCTCCGCACCCCGTTGCTTCGTCCGCCGGCGATTCATCGATGCGCAGGAGCGTGGGGATGCCACTGGCGCCCGCAGCGCCGCCGCCGCCGCACCAACGTCCACAGCAATACCCACAAGCAGGCAGCACGCAGCCCGCGCGAGCGGCGCCGCAGGTGCACCAGGGCCAGTCGTTGATGGCGCGCACGTCGCGCCCCAGCAAGCGCAAGATGCCACGCATCAGCCTCACAGAGGGAGGGGCGTAGGGCGAGGGATTCGGCGCTTCTCGGTTCGCTGCAGTCCTTCCAGGGAAACGACAAATGCTGGACGCGGATGGATGGCGCCAGGCCGGAGCAGCGAGAGAACACAGAGAGAAGGGACACGCATGTGAGTTGTGCCAGCCCGGATGAGGCTGAGGATTGGGGAGGAGGACCTGCCACCCTGCGAAAAGTGCTGGCTGGGCGGAGCGAACGGGAGAACCGTGTGTGACAATTTCGCTTTTCGGTGAGCCACAGGTCGGGTGAAACTCTGGCGTTGATGCACAAACTGCTGGCTTTAAGATGCCGATAAATGCCTCAAGAGCCGAGTGTGGGCCGGAAAGCCCAACACTCCCTCGCCAGGAAGCATCGCAACACAAATTGAAAGAGCTACGGCAAACAATGGCGGTGAACCTTCTTTTCTAGACGGCTGGTATTGAGAGCAGCCTAGCTCTCAATCCTAGAAGTCGAAGGATTGTGAGCAGCACTCCTCGCAAGCGTAGCATCTCTGTACGATTGCTAGCACCCACGCTCGCAATCCTACATCTTCTAGGACTAAGAGCAGCTCCGCTCCCAAGGTGACTGGTGACGCCTACGACTACTACCAGCGCGCTCGCAATCCGAGCAAAGTCTAGGATTGCGAGCAGCACTGCTCGCAATCCGAGCAACATGCCTCCGATTGCGAGCAGTAGCGCTCGCAATCCTACATCTTGTAGGACTATGAGCGGCTGCGCTCACAATCGTACCCAAGATCCAAGGATTGCTAGCACGCGCACAGAGGGCGCTCCCAATCGCTCCAGCCGCGAGCGCTTGTGAGTGAGCGCGCCGGGAGGGTCTCCTCACAATCCAAACAGTGATCGCACCGATTGCGAGGGGACCCGCTCGCAATCCTAGAAGTCGTAGGACTGTGGGCGGTGTCGCTCGCAATCGGCGAAAGTTCTAGGATTGCGAGCGCTACTGCTCGCAATCGGAGGCATGTTGCTCGGATTGTGAGCAAAGCTGCTCGCAATCCTAGACTTTGCTCGGATTGCGAGCGCGCTGGTAGTAGTCGTAGGCGTCACCAGTCACTTTGGGAGCGGAGCTGCTCTTACGCCCCCCACAGCAAATCGGTTTTTGCCCTGAACTAGTGCCGTTTTCGTTGGACCAATTTTCGCTTAACTTGGTCGGTTTGAGCACTATTTTCAGCCAACGCCCACAGCAAATCGGTGAAAACCTGCTCTGCGAGAGCGAGTTTTGTGGCTTATCCGGCTTCCGTCGGTCGTCCCGTGACTGATCGCGCCGCCGCGTTGCACATTGGACACATGCTCTCGCGCGTGGCGCTGACGGGGACTATTGTGCGCCTCGCCGAGGCGCACAAGAGTCCTTAGTCTGACAACGGCCAGTTCTGTCATCCTGGTGCTCAAGGAAACGGAAGCGGCGAAAGCCGACGCCTTGGTAGGTAGGTTTTGGGCCCTGGGCCAGATTCGGGCTTGGACTTGGCCGCGTCGAGTTTTGGATCTCGACGCGCCCTTAACCTAAACGCGCGTCGAGATTAGTGCGATTTTTGGCGATTTTTGATGGCCTATTTTTCGCTTGGCAGTGGTGGGAAATCGCACTATTTAAGGGCAAAAACCGATTTGCTGTGGGGGGCGTTAGTCCTAGAAGATGTAGGATTGCGAGCGTGGGTGCTAGCAATCGTACAGAGATGCTACGCTTGCGAGGAGTGCTGCTCACAATCCTTCGACTTCTAGGATTGAGAGCGAGGCTGCTCTCAATCCTAGCCGTCTAGAAAAGAAGGTTCACCAACAATGGCAAGTTTCCCCGGTATCCTCGTGCGTCCGTCGGACCGTGCTGTGTGGAGTGGCCATGATGGTGGCCTTCATGAAGGTGGCATACGCTGTCGGCGGTTCACGCGGAGACACTCAGCCACATATCGCCTTCGCCGTCGAACTGGCCCGCGCTGGCTACGAGGTACGCCTGTGGATTCCGCGGGACTACGAGTCGCTCGTGCCCAAGATAAAAGGGCTATCCGTCTACCACAGCCACCACACGGTGGCGTCCGGCCTCGAAAGAATGGCCCCGTTCATCGCCACGGGCAAAATGAACGACGCCTTCGGCGAAATGTTTGCGATGCAGGCCGAGCAGTTTGGGTCCGACGCCAACTCTGTCAGGGCCATGTGTGAGGGCTGGGCCGACATTCTGATCTATAATGGGGTCCTGGGACGCGTCGCCATGGCGGTCACCGAGGCACTGATGCTCAAGATGATCGCCGTCAACGTGCAACCAATGTTGCCGACCCGGGAGGCCTTTCCCATGGGCGGCAAAATGAAGCTGCCCAAGTTCCTGCACCTCTTCTTCTGGTGGCTGCTCATGTCCAAGCTCGCCTTCCCCGCCGTGCTGCAGCGGGCCATCGCCGAGTGGAAGGCCGCCAACGGGTGCAAGCTGCCGCCCCTCGACCCATGGGAGGAAACCTACCGCTTCAACGTGCCACACATCTTTGGCTTCTCCCCTGCGACGTTCGCGCCGCCCGCGGATTGGGCGGCGCTTGACTACGAGGTGACCGCCGACTGGGTGCGTGCTTGGGTGGTTGTGTGCTCTCTGCCGCTTTTGATTGTCAGACCACGACACGTCCCGATGTAGAAACATCATGGGAGCACCTCAGATGCGTCTGAAGACCGCAGGGTGGCACCAAATCGGGCGCCAAAGGTCGGCAGAAGGCGCCGAGGGGCCAAAATGGCCCCGTTGGGCTCGTTCCGAGGCTTGGACGGACTCTCGCGGCTGACTCGTGCGCGATATCGGCACGTGGTGATACACACGCATCGGGCCGATGCCAGCGGCACCCGTTTTACGAGCCTCAAAGCCGCGAGCCGCCCTGCAGGCGCCGTTTTGGGGCTCCAGAGAGGTCCTGCAGAGAGCGGCCGCACACTGCTCGGTACCCCCCCTGCACATCTAAAGCCATGGCCGACCCC